CTGTGTGTGCAAACCTGTGCACTCTCACCCACCACACTGCTGTGTGTGCAAACCTGTGTAACTCACCCACCACACTGCCCTGTGTGTGCAAACCTAAGTAACTACACTGCTGTTTCACACTAGACAGAAACTCCTCAAGATCAAGGACCCATTCTTTGTTTTTTATTTTATTATTATTTTGTTGGTTTGTTTTTGTATTTTGAGACAGGGTCTCTCCGTGGAACAGCCCTGACTGTCCAGGAACTCACTCTGCAGACCAGGCTGGCCTCGAACTCACAGAGATCCGCCTGCCTCTGCCTCCCAAGTGCTGGGATCAAAGGCGTGCGCCACCACCGCCCGGCTTCTTTGTTTTATTTTTGGTGAGTGTAAATCCAGTAAGCATCAGAAAATGCCTGAGAGACAGAATGGAACTGAACTCTTGATATGGCTCAAATATGGAGTTTTTTCCACAGGCTCATATATATGTTCAAACACTTGGTTTCCAGCTGACAACAGGGAGCCTCACTGATGCACGTAGGATACTGAGATGGGCCTGCTTCTGGCCTAGTTCTTGGTTGGTCGAGATGTGAGCAGGCTCATCCATGAAGAGAGCCAAGCCAGCCACCCTGTCTTCCCTGCCCGATGCTCAGTCATGTCTCCACTGTGAGTACAAACCTCTCCTCGCGTGGGCTGCTTTGTCTGGTATTTTCTCCCAGTAACAAGAGAAGAAACAACCACATCACTGGAACCTAGACCATCTTCCCACACTCCTCCCTGGGTCTCACTTCCCACAGCAGCAATGCAAAGAATCTCCTGCCTCTAATCACCCTTTAGTCAGGTGACGGAGGAGCCCTGCCACATGGCTTAATGGATAAAGGCCTTGTTCCAGGCCCTAAGATTATGATTCCTGGGACCCACATGGTGAGGGGGAGAATCAACTCCCACACGTTGCTCTCTCACCTCCACAAATGTGTGTATACACACACACACACACACACACACACACACACACACACACACACAAATACAATTTAAAAACATTAAAGAGCTGACCAATCATCTTCCCAAAGCACAGATGTTCCATCTTAAGACTCTTTAGGCTCCTTATTCCAGAAGCAAGTCTACCCTGTAACATGGGAACTGAGTTATGAGCCTCTTTTCTCCATATGTGCCCAAACTCGGGCCATACTCGTCAGCTTTCTGCCTTTGTACATGGAGTTCCTTCTGCCAGGAATGTCTTTTCTCTTACCCTGAAAATTCTCACTCATTGTATATGACCCAGTTCCCGAGTCACTCTGCTGCCGAGCCCTGCTAGGTCACGCTCTGGAAGAACAGCCTGCTTGCTCCTCTCTGCTGGCACACACTGTTTATTCCGACAGCACAATGCCTGCTCAGAGTTATTACCTTCCGCCTTAGCCATTTGAGTCCACAGGCAAGGGCTGACTCTTGCTTAGGTCTCCTGGAACCTACAACTACATGCAGGATATAAGAAGAACTCAATCTTTTTGTGCTTGTAAATCAGTTAACCTATAGAATGGCTAGACAAAGTGGAAAGAATCTGACCGCGTGCCACACTGCCGTATTAAGAATGCAAACCGAGCAGAATTTGTTATACTCCCATCTCTATGTCATGATCCAGTTTTATTTTAAAAGAACAAGAGAAAACACCAGAGGGCACAATTTTTAAGTACATATACGTGTACGGTGTGTTTGGCTGACAGGTGAATACATTACTCACTGTAGTGTGTGGGTTGGGAAGTAGTCCACATGCCATTTGTAGGTTAGTACAGTTAATTATTAGGGTCTGGCCATGGAGCCAGGCTTGATCCAACTCTCCATCCTCTTGCCTCAGCTTTCCAAGTGCTGGGTTAACAGGCACATGTACCACACCTTCCTAAAATGAAGAACTAGTTTTTTACAGTCATGTTAGTCTGGCACAAAAAAAGAAAAAAAAAAAAAAGGAAGGAATCAACCGGATAAAAGGGAAAAACCTCAAGTGAAGACGCCACCTTGTATGTTATGAAAGAAGTAAGATCTCTCTCTGGCCACAGGTCTCTCCAGCCAAGGCCTTGTTCCTGATGTAAAGACAGGAAAAAAGGCCTTCCCACAAATAAATCCTTTCATTTGATTTCTTAAACAACAACAACAAAAAAAAAACAACTTTGAAAATAAAGAAGTACCATTTAAGTCTCCCATGGGAGAGGTCCTGTTACAGGGTCGCTGGACAACTTAGTGGGGCTCATAATGACAAATGGGTTCTGCACTATCAGCCAGCAAACATCTGCCTGGCTCTCGCCTCAACCAGCTCTCAGTCCTTTTTTCCTAAGTAAACGAAGACATGCGAAAGGACAGTGTACTTCAGTAATCTTGATAACCTCAGTAGACTTCACAGGTGCTTTGGACTTGGGTTGAACACCAGTTTTGGCTTTTTTTCTTTTCTTTTTTCTATCCACTGATTCATGTTTAAATCCATGAGAGTAACGAGCAAGCGATAGTATGAATTCACTTTAATGGACGATATTAATTCAGCCACAGATATTTATTCAACATCTTCTACATGGCAGGGAATGGGCACTCTATGGCAGCAGAATTCAATTATTTCCACCAGAGTATTTTCCCCCTAGAATAACATGCTCGGGAGACAATGCTTTATGCACAGGAGACCTTTAATAAACGTGAGCCAGATAAAACTGGAGACTAGAACGGCGTACTGCAGGCAAGGAGCAAAGCTGTGCGGCCTGGAGCACTTGAGTATGCTTTGCCTGGCAGGTGGTCTTTATCTACTGCCTGTATCGTCCCCTATGGCTAGTTCCGCAGCCATCAGAACCGACACACTCCTTCCCTGGAGGTCACTACAGCACACCCTCAGACTCACGGCCTGGGAAGAACACCTTCACTCGCGGGAGGGTGAGATCCAGCTCAGTGGATGCAGCAGCGCCTTGCTAGCATTCACAGTGCTCCAGGTTTGATGTCTTTTTTATTTTCCAGCTACTAAGGACTGAACCCAGCGCCCTGGGCATGGAAGGCAGGCTCTTGACGTCTGAGCCATAGCCCCAGCCCTCGGTTTGATCACTGTTCAGATTTTTTTTTTTCTTTTTAAACAGACCGAAGAGGGGCGTCATCAAGGAAGTGGAATCCCACTTTTTAGATTATTTCATCAAGGAAGTGGAACCCCACTTTTTAGATTATTTACAGCAACGGGTGGATAGTGAACGGCTCCTAAACGCAGCCCACGGACAGGGCTTTTCTGAGCCCAGCGTTCCGTGAGGGCTGAGCAGATGCCGATCTGCCCCACTCAGGGTTCAGGGGGAGCAGCCTTTGCCCCCACGAGCTGCTGGGCGTGCAGCTTTTCCGGGAGTCAGCCGTGGAGGGTCCTTTCCGCTGCTGCTGCAGCTCACACCACCCCGACAGGGCTAAGCAGCGTGTCAGAGGCCACCTGACGCTCAGCGCGGGGAGGGGTTCTCGTCTGACCTTTTTCAGAGAGCACGCTATTCTTGGAGAGAGGTTAGATATGCACGAGAGGCGCAGGTCATCTGCAATGGACACAGAGGTTCCCAGCCGGAACCCTGGCTCTGACAGAAGGTCATGGTAATTCAGGGAAGAGGGGACACCTACAGGCAAAATCAGGTTTTTCTGCAAGAAGTTCTTGAGTCCCTGTCAATGCCTTACCAAGTGCTCAGACATTTAAATTCCTTCCTTCCTTCCTTCCTTCCTTCCTTCCTTCCTTCCTTCCTTCCTTCCTT